CTTGTGTTCATCCACCATCTCTGGCTCTTACAGTCTTTCCATCTCCTCTTCGGCAGTGGGCTGGGCATCTCACAGATACTTATTCTCTGCATTTGACCAGTTATGGAAAACACTGGGCTTTGCTGCATCCTGTCATCAAGCATGTACAGAGAGAAGTTAAAACTTGGAAGACCATCTCCAAGAAATTGTTGGCACCTTGATAGTGAACCTTCAAACCTTCTCAGGGCTGTCACTGACACCCGGCCTTCCTGCTCCCCTTCCTACCTGAGCAGTTTCCCTTACCTGATGGAAGCATTTCTCAAATACTACTTCTCCCTGCCCCTGCAGTATTTATAGCTGTTATTTATTTTTTATTCTTCACTATTATTTATTTGTGAATTTCATACCAAAGTACACTGTATTTGTATCTTTTCTCCTCCTATCCCTCTCCTAATTTCTCTTGTGTCCTCTTAATACCCTCTCTCAAATTCATGAACTCTTTTTCTATATTATGTTTTCTATATTTTTTGTTTTATTTGTATATGGATACATACCACTACTGAGTCCAATTAGTGTTGCCCTTATTTGCATGTGCTTAGGGCTGACCTCTTAGGATTTGGGTCTTGTCCCTGAAAAAACAAAGCAAGCAAACAAACAAAAAACTGGGTCTCCGCTCCTCAGCCCCCATAGTTCAGGAGTGGAGCTTGTATCTTGGGGGCAGCTGAAAGCTTAATTAGAAGGAACTCAGACCTGTAAATCTAGCCAAAAACCCATGCTTAAGAGAGGTCACAGGCCCTAGACTAGAGGAGAACCTATGACTTCCATATTGCTAATGTAGCATCGTTCCCAGCTGCCTTCTGAGTATTCATCCTTATACTGATAAGTGCAGCTCTCACATCTCATCAAAGAAACTTTTTCTTTAACAACAGACAGACTATAAGAGAGATGCAGAACTCATTAAATACAGAGAATAAATGACTGATGTGCCCAAGGCCCAAATGGAACATCTATAACACAGCCCCAACACCAAATGCTCAGGGAGTAGACTGTAAGAGCCTGAGGACTGGGATAACTGCTGGATGATAATTTCTTCCAGACAAGACAGAATGTTGCTCGTATGAACTCTGAACAATATTGGCTGTCTGCACAAGATCTGCAAAGTCGACATGCCAACATGGATGCAGGAAAATTTTACAAGGCCCCAGCCGTAGATGAGTGCCATTTTTTATGCTGATATCCCATTGTTCCCTTGAGCAAAAAGAGCAGAATAGTGCTACGCCAGTGCTGGAAGCCTTGGGGCTTCTATTGGAGACCTGCCTCTAACTCGAATCGATGTACTTCTCATCCCCACATCCTCTTTCAGGTCAAGCATTGCTGTATTCCAAAACTAAATGTATGCTGGTGATTGAACAAACACCGCTTGATTTGTTACCATTTTGTTGTTGTGTGAAGTTCACATACTCTAAATAATTCACATACAAGTTTGAGATATTCCAAACCTCGTAATTATTTTTTAGCAGATTCAATTTCTGTATGCCAGTTAAGAATGTGTATGACCTTAAGCAATAATGGGTGGTTTGTTTGTTTTTGTGGTGCTGAGGATTCAATCTAGGATCTTGTGAATGCTAAGCAAGGGCTGTACCCTGAATCTTCTTTACGTTTTATGCTGAGACGAGGTTTTGCTCAGATGAACTTGAGATCTTCTTACCTCAGCCTCTCAGGTAGCTGGGGTTATAGGCCTGTATCAACAGGGCTGCTTTAACTGACTTTTTAAAGTAGTATTTCGAGTGGAGATGTTACATATTTATTATGAATATCTAGCTTCCAGGAAGAGAAAGATTACCTATCATAGTTAGCCTAATGGTAGATTGGCCAATGGTAACGCTCTGGAGAGAATTGACCAGACATGGGTCAGGGTATGGTGAGGGGTTGTGGCATCTGGAACACCTAGGCAGAGAGAGCAGCTCAGGGCTTGGTGCCTACCTTCTGACTGGGTTCTGGGCTGGTAACAGGCTGACTCTGCCCTGAGGTGCACACTGGCAGGGTGTGTTGCAGCCTCAAAACATCAGACCCCAGATGACTTATCATTTACTTTCACTTACTGCACTCCCTGAAGGCATCTAGAAAATGGTGCAATCTGAGCTCTATGCTTGAGTGAAATTAGGCCTCTCAATCAGCTTTCTAGCTGACTGAGCTAGAATGAAGCTACCGAATGATCCTATCCTGTGGCATACAATAGGGAAGAATTTGGGTTCACAGACCAGGTGTGTAGATTCCCTCTGCACATCTCACCTGTAGTCTGTCTCACCTGTGTCTTATTAAATGGGCATTTTAGCTGAGGCCCCCTCCTTGATGCCTATGAGGATTAAATGAGCTAATCCAATTAGGGTGCTTAGTTCACTGCCTGGATGTCAGAGGCACTCACTGAGTGCTAACTGTTGTTCTTATAATTACAAAACCTCATTATTGCCTTTGAGAACAACGTACAAGCCTGTAAAATCTGACATATACATAGATGTACAAACCGTGCTAGACTGTGGTAAGCACCTACAAATATTAACTATTGACAGCCAACAAAGCAATGAAGGTCCTGCTGTCCCCATTTTAGAGAAGAGGAAACGGAAGTATAAAAAATAGAAATCAGGGAGCTAGAGAGATGGCTCAGCAGTTAAGAGCACTAGCTGCTCCTGCAGAGGAACTGGGCTTGGTTCCCAGCACCCGCATGATAGCTAACAACCACCTGTAACTCCAGTTCCAGGGGATCTGACACCCTCTTCTGACCTCCACAGGCACTGCATGATACAGGTACACTTATATACAAGCAGGCAATACACTCATACAAATAAAATAAAAAATATTTAATTTTTTTAAGAAATAAAGCTTAGAAATTAACAGAGCCAGATTCACTTTCAGAAGTCCTTGCTCCGGGGACTGTGCTCTTTCCTGCCATGCACAGCTGACTTACTGTCCTTTTGATGACTCCATTGTTCAGTCACTTAGTATTGCAGATTTCAACATTCAGTCCAAGAGGCCAGCCTATCTCTGTCTCTGAGAGCCACTGAAGTAGAAATTCGGAGTCTCTGCAGCAGTGCCACGTACTTGGGAAAGTGCCTTAGCTGGTCACTGTAGCAAGGCGGCCAGCGGTCTGATCCTTAGGTTTCTTGAGATTTGTAGGTAGTGGGTGAAAGTGTGAGAAGGGGCAAGGATGGTTCATGTGGTTCACTGGCATGGTTCACGTGATCCGTGTTTGTGTTCATATGATAGTCCTTAACTGGTGGTTCAGTTTCGGAGGAATCTTAGAAAGCAAGTTGAAATTGGGCTGGGCTTCTACTGGGGGTCGGGGGAGACCACTGGCTGAGACTGCACCAGCCTCCTGACTACGAAAATCTTTCTGCCAATTTCTGCAGGTCCCAGCCTTGGGCTCTGAGGTAGGCACAGCTTTCTCTGCCCCTTGGATTTCTGCGGCAGCTCTCGCCTTAAGAGCTGGAAGCAAACCTTGTCCCTAAGGCTCAAATCAGCCTCTCTCTTATTTGATCCTGTTTCTCTCTGATAAGCTCCGGGTACCAGAGTATATCCCTTGGGAAGCAGGCTCTGCCAGGTGACTCTCTTGGGATGGGAATCTGGGCCTTTTGCTATCCTGACTGACTAGAAGAATGTGTCCTGATTCCTGTGCACAGCAGCTACCCCTGTGCCAGGGCAGAGCTACCCTGAGCTATTCAAGCAGCAATGCTGTGGGTTCAGGACCCTTGAGAAATTCCCAGCAGGGATATAAAGAAAATGGTTAAGGAGCTTCTGGACCAGGGCTGGGGTATGAACTATGACTTTCTGTGTAGTAGTTCAAACCCCATTGATGGTATGGCTGATGGATTTCTCATAGCAGTTATGCAGTTCCTGCTTGGAATCTCAATTTGTTTAACCAAATGTTTGTGGGGATGATGTGGGGAGCATCCCTCTACTGACGAGGAGAGCAGCTATAAAAGATTTACTGCCTAATAGGCTTCTAGCCTAGGAGCTGGGACCTGCCACAATTGCTTTTGTTTTGCAGAGAATTCCCTGGGGCCTCCACTGTACCCACAACGAGCATGTGTACCTTGCATGCACAGTGCTGATTAGCCAGAGCCCCTGCTCAGATTATTCTAGAAATGTCACAGAATGACCTTCTCCCTTTGGGGATCATTTCTGGAGTTACTTGTGTGAGCTAACTTCTCCCCTCTCTCATTATTCCTACTCACAACGCTCGTTAATAGATCGACTTTCTCGTGATTGCCCAAACATGCCACCCTGAGTTTACTGACACTGCTCTTCCTGCCTGGCTTGCTTTTTCCATCTTTGCGTTGCAAAATACTGCCCATCCTTCAAGATTCAATTCAAATATTAATGCTTCACTAATCCTTGCCCTAGAAATTGATCTCTATTTTTCTCTGAAGCTCTGCTATCGTTTTCTATGCTCATCATGACCCTTATCTAATTCTACCATGCACAATAAATATTTATGTCTAGGGTTTTCCCTCTCCCTCTTCTCCTGTAACTTTGTATGGCACAAAACTGTCTTGCACACCCTGAAGTTCACCAAAACCTTAAAATAAGCTATTTATGCATGAAGTCAGTTTTATTGAACTAAAGCAAAAATCTTTGTCCTGAAGGATTTTGAGTGTATGTTATAGAAAATAAATAAAATGAAGTGTGAGTAGAGTCATAAAAAGCAGCAGCAGATAATAACAAAGAGGAACACTATTGGTAGCTCTTGGTCCTTGGATCATGTAAGATTCTGAAAGATATTAGAGAGTAATTCCTTCTTGAAATCCTGATGCTGAAATGCCCACTGCACAAAGGAATTGCTATCCTGATGTTAAAGAAGCCTGGGTGACACACAGAACTTCCCTTAGCTTGGATTTTTTCCCTAATCCCCACCCACCTCAAGAGCATATCTAGCTAGTTTATTTCCCACAGGTTTGAGTAACAACAGAAATTAAATTTCCCTGGAGGTTCTAACCCTACTCTTTTTCTTCTTTCTCCCTCAGCTCTGGACCCATCCAAGGACCCTTGCCTGAAGGTGAAATGCAGCCCTCACAAAGTGTGTGTGACCCAGGACTACCAGACAGCCCTGTGTGTCAGTCGCAAGCACCTGCTGCCCAGGTAAGGCAGGGAGCAAGGTGGCTGGGAGCTGGGAGGCGCTATGCAGGTGCTGGATGCTGAGTCTCTGAGCTCAGAGTGGGAGTAGGTTGGGGGAAAGGGAGAGCAGTGCTTGTGCCATGGCTTTAAATGGGACTCAGTGCCTGTACTCAGATGATGGCATGAATCTCAAATTGCAAATGCACATTTGCAAAGAATAATAATCTTAATTTCCTTGAAATCTTCATTTTGACTCTGAGCCCTCAGAATATGAACAGTAAAATCCCCTTTTTTCTCAGTACAGAAAACCCCTGTTTTTCTGTTATCACTGGGGCCCTTTCTCCTCCTGGTGTGGCCCTTGTATCCAGGAAGCTGGCAGCTAAGAAAGCAAGGCCTGGACTGTTAGTCTCATGGATGTGTCTGGCAGCCTGAGCATGGATTACCTTCCAAAGCCCTCAACCCTGAGGCCCAAGGCTCTCTTTTTGTGCCCCACAGGATATGGCACCTCTCTGCCTCCTCAGGGCCCCACCACCATTCTTTCCATCCTTTTCCTTTCTTCAGAGTGTGTCCTAGTTAGCTTTGTTAACGTGGCCCAGTCTAGAGTCATCTGAGAAGAAAAGCCTCAGTTCTGGAATTTCCTATATCAGACTGGCCTGTGGGCATGTCTGCGGGGTTTCTCTTGATTGTTAATTCAGGAGGGCCCAGCTCACTGTAGGTGGAACCCTCCCTAGACAGTGGTCCTGGGCTGTATAACAAAGTCATCTAGGTATGAACCAATGAGCAGTGTTCCTCCATGGTTTCTCCTTCAGTTTCTGCTTGAGTTCATATCCCGACTTCCCTCAATGATGCACTGTGAACTTGAAGTGGAAGTTAAATAAAGTCTTTCCTACCGTGAGTTAATTTTGGTCAGATTATTTTGTCACAACAGCAGAATGAAACTAGACCAGGGTGCAATACCTAATACCCCAACTCCTTAGTCTAGAGGGAGGTTTCCTCATCATCTTCAAGGTTCTCAAAGGCCTTGCCTTTTAACCCCGTACCCCAGTACTTTCCAACCAGTGAACTTAGGCTCTTAACTTCAGTTTGCTTCTATTTCATGCCCGCAAAAAACTTGAAGACAAAAAATAGACACGTGTGTGTGCGTGCACACACACCACACACCACATACCACACACCACACACACACACACACACACACACACACACACACACACACACACACACAGGCTGTCTTTAAGAGAGGGGATTGAGTAGAAGCAATTTCAGAGCAAACCCAGCCCCATGCATGCCTCCGGTGAGCGAGGTGCACAGCAACTCCCTGCCTGAGTTGACACCCGTTTGGGATTTAGTAACTTCTGCTGCTCACTGGCAGCACGTTTATGACTTAGACAAGCCTTTAAGATTCTTGAATCGCCCTGAAGTCCATCTCCCTAGAGCTTTTGCTTCATTGCCTCGAGCTTGACCTCATGCAACCTTGCAGAATGGGTCTTCTTCCTCCTTAAGTTCTTGAAGTTGGTGCTGCTGCTTCCTCATGGGATTTAGTTAAAACATTATCTTTCATCTTCTGTTTCCCTCTGAACATTGCCGGGGTGGTGCCCTACCCCTGAAATCATGTTCTGGCAACAAAACCCCGCTTCTAGTTTGCAGCGATCCCACTGCCTCTGTCTTCCTTAAGTATGGCGCCAGTGAACACAGGCTTGGCCTCCAGGGTCATCTTGCTGTGGATTGCTTTTGATGTTGTTTCAGGAATAATCAGCATTTATGTCTGTAAGATCCAGATGCGAAGTATTGAGATGTGCTTTGCCCTTCTCCTAGGCTGGGCTTCTCCCTGGAGAACATAGATCCTGTCCTGGAACCCAGGCGTGGTGCTCGGCACCCATGTTTTTCAATTCTTCTAGTCATTTTTTAAATTGGCTAATTTTTTTTTTGTCTCTGTTCTGTAAGCGAACAAACTGAAGCAGAAAGAGGCATTAGTAATTTTCTTATATATTTAGTATGTGACAGCCATGACTCAAACCCAGAACTATCTGGCTCTAGAGCTTGTTTTCTGCTACTATAATAGGGTGACCTCTTCATTCTGCCTGTCTTGTACATGCATTAACTTACTGTTATTCAGCACAAAGGTATTGAATATCTACTGTGTACCAGGCTTCTGCTAGGCACTAAGGCAAAAGGGGTTAACAAGAGACCCTGTTTCTACGAGACTCAAGGAAAATCAAGTTCATATAAGTGGGATATAAAACTAATTTTGTTATTATTTGAAATTCCTTTTAAGGTATGAATACTCTAAGAAAACTACCTCAGTTCTTCTGCCCCATGTGATTTCTGTCTTCTAAGATGGAGGGAAATGTGGTTTCTTTTGTTGCAAGGAGCTAAATACCCTTAAGAATAATGCCCTGGATTGTTTAACCATTTGGTTTCAATATGTGTGTGTGTGTGCAGCTATGTGTGGCTATGGTGGAAAGTCCCTCATATGCTTTTTCGTAGAGTTTAAAATGCAGACCTTTGCAGAATGCCAGGCAAGAGAATTTTAGTTTTATATTTCTGTTTGAGACCAAGGCAGCTGCCTCATTGGTATTCAGACAAATCCAGCGTAAATGGTGTTTTCCTGGGCATGTCATGTTTCTGATCATCATTCTTAGCTTATGGGGAAAGTATATCCTCATCTCCTGTATCTCTTGGTGGCCATAAAATTATAATGGCTCTGAGCATGGATCTAGGAATAAAACTAATGAGTTCAATTCCCATATTGGCTACTTCTCGGCTGTGTAACCTTGACAAGTCAATTTGTGAGTCTAAATTTGTATTAGTTAAATGAATTTAATATAAAGACATATAGCAGCATATGTTGTGTATGTTTGGGTGAAAGTTTAGTAAAGGTAATGGTGTATAATGTTCAGGTCAGTGTAAAATAATGGCAACTGTTCTTACAATGAGTAAAGCAATTATGGTAGCAGTCGTTATTATCTTAGTAATTCTGAAAGTTCAGTCAGAAATCTCTAAAGTTGCATGTTCTTGAGAAAGAAGCAGCTCCCCTCAGGGGTCCTGCCCCCTTCCCAGACTGATCGATCATGCTGCTTCTGAGATTCTCATGGGAGAGAGACTTTAAGGTGCATCTCAAAGATAATAGTGACATTTTAACTGTCCCTTTGTGATTCACAGCAGGAAAGACTAAGAAAATGACAGCATTTCTGAAAACAGGGTCTATTCATTACTGGAAATAGAGCCCAAGGAGGCACCCTGGCTGAGGTGCCACACCCACTCTCTTGGATTTGGGAGGTGGCCTGGACCAAGGAGGCTGTGGTGGTGGTCACCATGGTGTGGCTCCAGCTTTCCCTCTTTTAGTTCTACTTTTAGTGGAACTCTTCAGCCCTTGATTGTCATCAAGTGTGCAACTCTTCAAGGGTTCTTGGATGCCTTCCCAGAGGGAACATCTGTCCTTCTGTGTTAGACTTCAGGAGTCCCCCAAGTAGGGACAGCATGCTGACAACTCAGTCAGGGAAGTTATCTTTCTTCAGAATATGTGTAGACAATCCTGCCAGCCAAGCTGGTCTCTATGGAGCTCAAGGGTCAGAGGCTGTCTCTAGACATTTCAAGAGCTCACAAACCAAGGACAGCTGGGGAGCCTCAGCCCACAAAGTGACTTCAGATGTAGGCTGACTTACAAGTCGATCAAGGAGCAAGGACAGGGATCCCTTACCTCCGCAACGGGATGCTTGTCTTGCTGTGGAGCTTCTAGGGTAGAGAAGCTGCTGGGTGCCCACATCTGTGACCACAGTGTTTCAAGGCTGACCAAAAAATTTTGCTGGAGTTGTTGAAAGGCAAGCATGCGATCAGGATGGAAAGCTCCCTTTTGATGAGGAGATTCTATTACATTGGCTTTATTCAGGGGACTTTGTTAAGTTTATGTTCTTTTGGGAGAATTATTCTGGAAAGTCTTTGTTTCATTTCTTGCTGTTAAGCATTGAGGACAGGTATGGGAAGAGGTAGATTCATGGTGGTGTGTTCATGCTTCACAGTTCCCAGGGTCATTTATGTACCAGAGAGAAACGAATGAAGCCAGGACAGCTTCACTTTAGTGACTTAAACATTTCGAATATGTTTTTGATATGATAGTTGATACATATTCTAGAAAATATTAGAAATAAGAAAAGCAAAAAGAAATAGGAGATGGGTAATGATCACATGGCCCAAAAGTCAAAATTAAAATATTTGAATGCATTTCTGCCTATTCTTACAGTTTTTCTCATTGATTTATTTTTATTGTCATTTAAAAATAGTATGTATGCTATAAGTGAATATTTTTATGATAATATAAACTATGTTTAAAATTATAATGGTTACATCACATCCTGTATAAAACCTTAATTTGAGATGGGTCATATTCCTAAATATACATGCAAAGACTATGATACTTTCAAAAGAAAACATAAGAGCACAGTCCTTGTGGAAAATACTTGCCAAAATTTGTTTTACATATATACACATGTAAAGAGGCACTCATACATGTTCATATTGGCTTCATTTATAATTGTATAAAATGAAAATTGAATGTGAATCAACCAACAAATTGTGGCTTGTCCATTACAATCAATACTATTCAGCAATACAGACAAGTAGATTGTTAATATATCAAATAATCAGATAATAATTGAATGAAAAAAAATCAATCTCAAAGTACATAGGGTATACTTTCCATTTCCATGGGGTAGGGAACACACTCCTCACCTGAGGTGATAGGCACATCACTAGCTGCCAGGGGGAGAGCATGAGGGATAGTGTCAATGAATGGCTATGCAGCCAGTAAGGCTTGGCAGTAAAATGGATCCTCTGGGAAACAGGGATGTCAGACTCTGGTCTTGGATGCCTCAGGTCCCACTGGTAAATGGGTTGGCTCACAGTGGAAGAGTTTGTATTACAACAGTGTGTTATTATTCCTGCCTTAAGTTTAAAAAATTCTAAGGTACTCTTAAGAGAATATCATCAAGGGGAAAGTCCTGCAGAGGACTCTGTTGTTAGGGTTT